GGGGGGGGGGGGGGGGGGGGGGGGGGGGCCTCCCATGTAAAAGTGACAGGGATACTCGTTGAAAAATTAGAATTAAACCCCTAAGGGAGACCAATGTGGGTGTGTCTCAAGCTTAAACTGACCCACTAAAGAAGACCATCCTGAAACAGACATTACGGCATTTTTTGTAACTTTCTTTACGCGCATCCCTAAGCGATACTCAAATGGGCAAATGTAGTGACGTTCCGTCCCAAACACCCCAAGTGAGACCAAAATCTTCAATGTACACCCCTACGCGAGACAACGAACATCCGTGTCACTTTTACATGGTAGTTCCCCGGGGTTAAAAGTAGCTACTTTGTCTTTCATTGTGATTAGTCTCTTGTCCGATCTCTCGGGAGTTTGCGACTCGATTAAACGGCTAAAATTCAGGCTACACTTCGCAACTTGACCATTTGAAAACGAGGCTTGGTGCTGAAATTTGCTCGTCTGCCATAAACATGCGTAAGGTCTGTTGTGACTTGCTTTTTAGTGTTTGCTCGCTTGCTTTTTTGTAACCTGAGATCAGGCCCAATTTTAGCGGTTCTCATACATTCTCTCTAACGACTACCGCTAAAATTTTCGTTTCGCCTAGCCCGCCGGTATGTTATTACAAAGCGAAACGAAAATTGAGCCTGATCTCAGTTTAGCTTTTTTGGGAAAGAGAAAAATTTATTTTAAAGATTTTTTAAGTGGAGGTCCAACTATTTCTTTCTGTGTGTGTGTATCCTCAGATTCTCCGTCCACAAAAAGCAGAAATGGTCGCCACCAAAGTTCTAAACCAACTAACGTCGCCAGAGAACAATAACCGACCTGTATTAGTCCATGGTTTCTCAGTGGGCGGGTACCTCTACAGCCACGTGCTCAATTTAATGGAAAAATTGGACAAGTTCTCACCAGTCAAGGAGAGAATCCTTGGTCAAGTCTTTGACTCCCCGGTGGATTTCGATGGGATTCCCTATGGTGTTTCAAACGCGGCCTCGCAAAACCCGTTTATCCGCTGGCTGATGAAGTCATCTATTGAGTCGTACTTGACCATCTTCGCCAAGTACACGAGCAAGGTTTACGTGGCGCATTCGCAGTTATTCCACAACAATCCTGTACGGTCGCCAGCGTTGTTTCTGTTCTCCAAGGATGACAAGATCGCGGATGTTAAGACGTGCCAAGCTTGTGCGGACTATTGGAGAGAAAAACTGAACATGAACGTGAATTATGTATGTTTTGATAGTTCGCCTCATGTTTCACATTTTTATGTCCATAACAAAGAGTACACTCAAGCAGTGAAGGACTTCCTGAAGGTCGTAAACGTGCCTGCTGTGACTGCTGTGTAGATCTACGTTTTCAGAGATTTAGCCGCGTGACGTTCTCGGCGAACAGCAAACGTCAGATTCAGGTTGAGATTTCTCAAAATAGAAAACGTGCGGCTAAAAACAGACTAAAACAATTGTTATAGACAAAACTAACCTGAAGCTACTAACTTTGAGGTAGAGGTAATCTCCAGATCTCTTCCTTAGTGCGTTATTTTGCGAACAGAAATTTTTTTCTAGTCTACGCTATATGTTTTCATGAAACTTTGCGCGATAAAATGGCTTAGAACGCGGTTTTGTTAAACACAGGCTAAACTCCGTTTAAGAGATAATTGTGTTTTAGTTCTCTGTTGTAAAGAGACTTTGCTGTAAGATGTGGTCTGGGAGGAAAAAGAAATTATCCTGACTGAAAAGGTTCAACCGTTAAATAGCTTTTCTAGTGGGAGTGCATTAGTTTTGTGTACAGTGGAAACTCGATTTAACGAGCCTCTATATAAAGACGTCCTCGGTATGACGAACGATTTTTTTTACCCCAGTAATAGTAAAATATATGAAAAAGAACCTCGGAAGTCTGTGTTTCGATTTTTCCGTAGTAGAGTGCTCGATACGTTTAAGTAGAGCGTGATATAAATATTGGAAGTAGGAAAAACACTACACTTTCATCCCGACAAGCCTGTTTCGTGATCTCTCACTCTTCAGGGGATTTTGAAAAAGAACCTCAATATATAATAAACTGGTTCAAGACTTCAGAGGTAGGGGATCGTTTTATTACTACAGCTCTGTTTCGAGTGGTCAAAAGATGACCACACTCATCAGGTACAACGAAATAACGAAACCTCGTTATAACGAACAAATTTTTCCAGTCCCTTGGCCCTTCGTTATAGCAAGGTTCCACTGTAGTTCATAGGCACCTCCCTCAATTAATTAGGGAACAATAAAATATTAGCTAACATGTGTAAAAAGACAACCTGTCAGGACGCGATAGTATAGACTGTGCTAACGTATGGACGCCATACCAACACTCTTTTTGTGGTCTGAGGAAAAGTCAAGTGGTTCCCTTACTCTACAGCTCCGTTATTGAGGGTCGACCCCATTAGGGTTCTTCAATCCCGGAGGCATCCCACTTTGCACGCCTACTTTCAATCCCGAATCTTGTCCCGATTTTGTTTTAACATCCCGAATCCCGAGCTTTAATTAAGGGAAAATCCCGGATCCTGACAAAAACCAGCCTCCTTATTTTTATGACTGACGACCGCCCGCTTTCAGTGGAGTTCTATAGTCGTTATTTCTTCACAATGTTCTTGCCTTGTGGAATGCTGAATGCTTGTTGGTGACGGGTGAGGTGAAGCAAATCAACCTGACAAACAGTAAAGCTTTTTTACCAGTCGAAGTCGTTTGAAGTGCATACTATTGAGGGTTTCAGTGATGCGTGTGATACATCAGGCACATTGCATGATGGTTAGCACTAGATTATATTTTGCAGTCATATAGTTCAGAAACCCTTTCCCAAAAATTACGACACGCACAAGTAGCGCTTCGCGCGAGATTCTTTTTTGGCGCCAAAATGACGCGGGCGCACTGCTCAAAACAGCGGGAAAGCACGGCTAGGCTCAGGAAAAAACTTTCTCTGCATTAAATTTTGGTTTATTTTTCTCATTTTCCCTCTGCAAGGGATAGCAAGAGGTACAGTACATTTTTTTAATCTGAATTTTTACCATTAACTATATCAATTTGTTCTCCTTGGCATACTTGATGGGAAATTACTTCAAGCTTTGCGGAAGCTTAAAGCTTTTTAGTCCTTAAAACTGCCGAAACAAAAAAATGTTTGAAAAGGTTTTGTTGTTAATCCGGTGTAATTTACTGGATTATTTTTAGGCAGCCTTCTCATTGTAAATAAAACCACAATGCCTTCTAATCCGAAGAAAGGAAAAACACTGAAGTGTTCAGAAAATCTAAAGGACTTTTACGAAAATGACGACGAGTTTAAGTTTCATGAAGGTAAGCCTATTTTTATCGACTAAACATTAAGTATTTAAATCGCTTCTATAAGACAAAAGTGGCGAACTTATTTCAGGAAAAAAAGTCAAAATTCCCTTTATATCTGCATTTAATTTAAGCCGATTAAGCTCACATAAGGTTAAGCTAAAACCACAATTCACACTGGCTCAGTTTTGGGTTCAAGTTAATAGTTTCATTGCAACAAGAAAACGTTGCTTAAGCCTGAAGGTATAAGCCATGGTATAAAATTAAGGCTTAGGGCCATTCCATTAAATACACACACCCCCTATGGATGAAGGACTTTGAAATTTTTCAAACCCAGCGTGCAAAGAAAGTCGTGCCCTATAGCCCGGGGTTAGTGGATTTTGATATCAGGCTAGTGAATTATGTTCTTAACTTGCCCGACAGGCGAGTTAATTTTTTGGTGGTGGGAACTCCAAGTAATGTAGAACTGTAATCGGTCCTACCAGAAGCACATGTGCTTCCTTCTGGTCCTGCACATCAGCATTTTTTTCGGGCTAGTTGAAATGACTGCTGGGCTAGTACATGCTAGCTACAGCCTGGGCCCGAATGGCAAGTAAAGACGACTTTCTTTGGATCCAGTTAAACCCTCAGAAAAATGCCATTTATTCCCTAAAATTCATTGAACATTTATCCCCTCAGAAAATTTACTTTACCTGTCTTTATCTGTCATGCTTGTCTAACAGCGTTAAGAATTTTTTAGCGTTCACTTCCCCTAAAAAAAAACTGGCGTTCAGTCCTAGAACCTTCAGAAATTCCATTTTTTGTGTACCTCTTCAGAAAATTTCGTCGACGGGGTGGGGGGAGAAGGGGTGTATATTAAATGGAATGGCTCTTATTTGGCTGCAAATAACGTTTTATTTTTTAGCATCGTCAGTGAAATCTGAACAACAACAGCATCAACAGAAAGCTAATGTTCCTGTGGTCAAGTCCAAGAAGAGACAAGCCATGACACCAGCTGATGATTTCCAAGATTCTGACCCAGAAGATGATTACGGTGACAAATCGTATGTAATTCTACTGTCGTTTCATAGCTGCACTGTAGACAGTACCACATCAGTGGGAGCATCTCGAGCGGACCACTTTCCCATTTCAGTGATGTAAATATGGCTTTGAGCTGGCTCATACAGCTTTGTTCCGGAATAAGTTTTAAAGAAAATCTCACGTGTTCTTTAGGTTTTGAAGACATCTTGTTAAATCGTATGTAATTCCACTGCCGTTTCATAGCTGCACTGTAAACATGAATCACTGGTACTTTTCGACCGGACCACTTCCCATTTCATGTAAATATGACTTAGAGCCGGCTCGTACAGATTTGCCCTGGACATAAAATTTAGAAAAGAAAAATCTCACCAGGAAAGTAACGGAGGTTCCTTAACTTTGGTGTTAAAGAGTTATCTTGAATTTTGGGAAATACATTTCAGTGATTTTAAACCACTCTAAAAATCTTACACCCTGGCTCATATGTTTTCATAGTAGCTCATTAATCGAATCAAATAGAGCGAATTACATGAAGTTTCAGAAAAGAAACAAAGAAACAAAACGGATCATTTATTGATGGTTGCTGATATAACAATATCAGCATCTAAGTTATTAACTTAAAATGCAGCATATCTTCTCTCTTTCTTTCCTTCCTGCTCCCACTTCACTTTTAACCGGTATAAACGAGGATATGAAATGCAGTACTTTGTTCTGATCTTTCCTTTCACCTTCTTTTTAGAAGTGACCTTGAAATGCAAGGAATACTGAACAGCTTTGGAGGTCAGGAATGTTATAAGATTTTAAAAAACGTATCGCCAGTTCCGTCTGAGGCATTGCTAGTGAAGCATTCTCTCTCTCGTCATTTTTTTTCCAGCTGACATCACTAAGACTTTAACTGCCAAGCGAAAGAGAATACAAACATTTACACAAGCATCCCTTAAGGCAAGCAGTAGAAAATTTGACGAAGTCTGGCATACACAGCAACGTGAACGGTGAGAGAAACGTAATCTTTTTTTGTTAGACACGATAAAAGTAGAAAACCGGCTGGACCTGAGGGACTTTGAAATGAATATCAGATGGTTTACTTGACCAGCCTTCCGGCATGATATTAAATGAGCGTTGCATTACTGACAGCTGCTACTTACCTTGTTCACCAGAAGCAGTCACTACGATGAATTCAGCAAGCAACTCATGAACGTTATAACCCAGGGAGAGACAGATTTGCAAAAGACAAGAGAGGCAGAGGAGAAACTAGAGGTAACAGAAACACGCGAGAAATTTCT